GTGATGTTTTTTTTTTTTTTTTTTTGTTTGATTGTAATATAGGTTTCATTACATGGCGATAGCAGATAACAGAAAGAGATCGATGCCACTCCCTGACGATAGAGTAGGCGGCAGAGGCAAAACCTTGGATTTTCCTGAAGCTGTATTGCTCGTCCATCCTAGAGAAGCTGCGTTCAAGGGAGAGGTGGACGATAAGTACCAATATTCTTGTGAAAATAAAGATCTTAAAGTGCATGGATGGATATCCATGGATCCTTCCGACGACCCTCCGGTGGGTTTCTGGCAAATCACTCCGAGCAGCGAGTTCCGATCCGGCGGACCGCTCAAACAGAACCTCACCTCTCATGTGGGACCATATGCTCTTGCAGTAAGTATTACCTCTTAGATATTCTCCACTTTGAGCCTAAGCTCTCGTAACTGAGGTGGGACTCCTCACCCAACGATCTTCAATAATACTCCTCTCGAACAAAATACGCTACAGAGCCTCCCATGAGGCTTGTAGAACCCTCGAACAACCTCCCCTTAACCGAGGTTCGACTCTTTCTTTGGAGCCCTCGAACACTTTAGTCTTTTGACTATAATTTTGAGGCTTACAACTTCTTTGTTCGATATTTGATAATTCTATTGACATCACGTATTCCTTATAAATTCATGATCAACCCTTTAATTAGGCCGAGAATTTACATAATTGGCACAAATTTCAGATGTTTCTTAGCGCTCACTATGGAGGAGAGGAGTTGGTGCTGAAGCTGAATGCTGATGAGCCGTGGAAGAAAGTGTTTGGGCCTGTCTTTTTCTATCTTAATTCTGTTCCTAATGGAAGGGATCCACTTTGTTTGTGGGAAGATGCTAAAATTCAGGTATTTTTCATTTATTTATTTATTTTTATTATGAATATATATTTATTTTAATCTCACTAATTTCTCAGATGACGAAGGAAGTTCAAAGCTGGCCCTATTCTTTTCCAGCTTCTCAGAATTTCCCACCACCAAACCAACGTGGTAGATTGACTGGCAACTTATATGTCCTTGACACGTACGTTTACTATTGTTTCTGCCGTAACAACTCAAGTCCACCGTTAATAGATATTGTCTATTTTTGTCGTTACGTATGGCCGTTAGCCTCACAATTTGAAAACACGTCTACTCGAGAAGCCGTGGTTTCTACACCTTTATCCCCTCTCCAGCTAATATGGGATCTCACACTCTACTGTTGGGGTTTAGCAAGGAATCTCACAATCTACCCCCATGGGGTCCAATGTCCTAAATGGCACACGCTCGGTGTCTAGCTATGATACCAATTGTAACAACTCAAGCCCGCTGCTAGTCAATATTGTCTGTTTTAGCCCATTATGTATTGCATTGTGAGATTTCTCGTAGGACCCTTAAGGGGGTGAATTGTGAGATCTCACGTTGGAGAACAGAAGGAAATATTTTTTATAAGGGTGTGGAAACCTCTCCAAATAGATGGGTTTTAAAACCGACGATACATAATAGACTAAAGTGGACAATACCTGCTAGCGGTGGGTTTGAATTAATACAAATGATATTAGAGCCTGACACCGAGCGGCGTCCTTCCTTGTAAAAGTGTGGAAACTTCTTCCTGACGGACGTGTTTTAAAACTTTGAAGATGGTGTTAAATTATTTTTATAAAAATTAATAGTAATTTCACTGCATTTGTGAGCAGATATGTTAACCAAGAGCAAATGCCAGCAGCTGAGGCATATGTGGGACTGGCAGCGCCGGGAGATGCTGGATCATGGCAGACCGAAACCAAGGTACGGAGCGATTGATTATTTGATTTTCAACATATAATGAGAACTAAGAAAATGATGTTCCTTAAACCATGATCAGGGCTACCAATTTTGGACCAAAACAGATGCATATGGCTCGTTTAGCATCGAAAATGTACGCATCGGCGACTACAATCTTTATGCTTGGGTTCCTGGCTTCATTGGTGACTACCGTTACGACGTTGTCATTAGCGTCTCTGCAGGTTTTGATTCACATTTCAAATATCTTCCTTTGATTAAGAACAATATATACATTATGAATTCAGAGGTTAAACGTTCAAATTTACAAAAGACAAAATTCTATGTGAATGAGGCTTATAACTCGAGAAGTGAAAGAACTCTCAACATTTGTAATTATATTCAGGTAGTGATATGGATGTGGGAGATCTTGTTTTTGAGCCACCTAGGAATGGTCCAACGTTGTGGGAAATAGGCATTCCTGATCGCTCTGCAGCTGAATTCTATATTCCTGATCCTAACCCAAATTATATTAACAAATTATACGTCCACCATCCAGATAGGTACGAGAGCTTTTCTCTTTCAACTATGGCGATCGCTTCTCTTAAATCTTACGTTGATTTAATAATATATTAGACAATGCCTATGGAGCGGGAACAGGTTCCAATCTCCCCTCTTACAAAATTTTCATTTATTTTAGCCTTTTTTAATCGAGAAATCTTTCTCCACTCACTCTCCATTTTACATTCGGTTTGGGACTAGTCTCCACCGAGCCTTAATCCCACAAATTAAATGAAAATCTCTAACATATATATATATTAATTCCGGAAAAACATTACCTCAAACTAATATATCATTAATTAATTAATTAATTAATTATTAATTTCAAAGGTAGTTGTGACAGAAGAAAATAATTAAATTAAATAGCTTAAATTCTTAGAATATTACTGTTGAACAGATTCAGGCAATATGGACTGTGGGAGAGATATGCAGAATTATATCCTGATACAGACTTAGTATATACCGTTGGAGTCAGTGATTACACAAAAGATTGGTTCTTCGCTCATGTTAATCGGTAAGTTCCAATATATGCTAATATGTCAATTAAAATATATTTATAAGGTTTTTAATTATGGATATATATATATATATATATATATATATATATATTTTTTTTAATTAATTGCAGGACTAGAAATGATGGGTCCCATTTACCAACCACGTGGCAAATCAAGTTTACACTCGATAACAACATAGATAAGAGCGGTATCTATAAATTGCGAGTGGCTTTGGCCACCGCCAATGTTGCTGAATTACAGGTACTCATTCTATTATGTTGTTAACTTTATGAGACGTTGGGTGATAAAGATTTTAAGCATTTTAGATCAAACGATTAGCTGCCTAATTTGGGGAATGATCGTGGGTTTATAATAAATAAATACTCTCTTCATTAGTAGGAGACTCTTTGGGAAAGCCCAAAATAAAGTCATGAGAGCTTATGCTCAAGTGGACAATATCATACCATTGTGGAGAGTCGTATTCGTCTAACATGATATCATAATCATGCTCTAAATTTAGTTGTGTCAATAGATTGGTAAATCTTCAAATGTCAAACAAAGAACTTCAAAAGAAAAGGAGTCAAGCCTCCTCGAAGGCAGTAAAAAATAACTAAGACTCCAAAGTTCGAAAGAGTCGAGCCTCGATTAAGGGGAGATGTACTTTGTTCGAGGGGAGGTGTAAGGAGTCAAGTCTCCTCGAAGGCAGTAAAAAACGACTAAGACTCCAAAGGAGTCGAGCCTCGATTAAGGAGAGGTGTTGGATGATGAAAGTCCCATGTCGACTAATTTAGGGAATGATCATGAATTTTATTTTTAGATTTTCATCTTTCATTCATTTTATTTACTCTTTTGGACAAAATTTACTTAAGATGTGATATTATTTTTTCTTTTCAAATAAAAATAGATTCGGGTGAACAATCCAGAAGTAGAGCCGGCTCTATTTACGACAGGACAAATTGGGCACGACAATGCAATTGCAAGACATGGAATTCATGGACTCTATCGACTCTATAGTGTCGACATGTCGAGATCTGTATTGGTAGAAGGAGAGAACACCATCTTCCTTTCGCAAATTATAAATACTTCATCTTTCAACGGCGTCATGTATGATTATATCCGCCTCGAAGGCCCCCCATCCGACGTCTCTACACGTTCATAAAATATATTTTTTTTTCTTTTTTTATTTCAAAATTTATAATTATAGTCTTAGTCTTGTAACTCTATGAAACTTAAGCCAATAATGTTGTGAACTAAAAGTTTCTCAGAAATTTAATTACCGAGTCAATTTTTAACCGTTTAGAATAAATTTTAACGGTGTCAATGTGAAAGTATAATTTTTCACCATTAAAAAACATATGGAGTAGGAGTAATATTTTAATGTCATGAAACCTTTTCTTTGTTGGGCCGGGCCGAAAGAGGGCATATTGGGCTGACGAGCGTAATGGGCCGTCGAAACTCAAAACAGGCTTAAGGGCCCAAAATGATTAAACAAAGTCGCTTTCTAGGGAGAAATTCGTCATTTTGATGAATTACTACTCCGTCTCTTTGCTGCTATATATACCCTCATCTACAAAATCTAGGGTATAAAAAGCCCCAAATTTCTTCGCTCGCGAAAAGCTTTGGAGCCATCGTTGTCCCGGTTAGAATCAAGAAACGAGAAGAATCACATACTTACCAACAATCTGTAACTACAATTCCTTGCTTGTACTCGCTCTTTAATTTTATTTCGTTCCTTTTAGAATTGATCTCTCGCTTTTATTTCGAAGATTTTGCCAGCTTTCTCGAATTCTGATGCTATGTTTCAAAATTTTCTGAAGATTTTGTCAATTCTGGACGTGTATTTTTTTTACTAAATTTGATATCTTAGCTAAAGAGCTTCCATATTTTTCAGATCTTGTTTTCTGAAGAAGAATGGCAACGTTTGAACTCTACCGTAGATCGACGATCGGAATGTGTTTGACTGAAACTTTGGACGAAATGGTCCAGAACGGTACTCTTAGTCCGGAGCTTGCTATTCAAGTTCTTGTCCAGTTCGATAAGGTACAGTCAAAGCTGTTTGAAGATTTTATATTTTTTTGGATTTGTGTACGGAATTAAGGTTTAAGGTCTTGTTTGATTTAATTTCCTTCCACTTTTGGCTTTTGCAGTCCATGACTGAGGCTCTGGAATCACAGGTGAAAAGCAAGGTGTCTATCAAGGTATCCTTTTTTTCTTTTTTCTGGCTTATGAATTTGGCGAATCCTTTAATGCAGAGATTTATGTTGCTAAGTAAAGTCAACATTATAAACTTGAAACGTGATTTAATAACTGATAAGAGGAATTGGTTGTGTCTGCCTGTTCTGAGATTGCTCTGTTTGTGCTGTAGTGCACGTCTAGCCTTGAGCCAAATTGTTATGTCGGCAACACATCCATATGTCGAATGTGTAGTAGAATATTTTTCCGTGGTCTTTGGTTTCATATACAAATGCACAGCATACAAACATTTGTATTTGAAACGTGGAAGTTTCGTTGGTGGAACTTTTCATTAGGTTACTTGTGTTCATTCCATTCCTTGTTTTGTTTTCCCCTGATTCTTGAAACGTTTTCAGTATAAAATATTGCACATTGAATAAGTCTCTCTGGATTGAACTTCGTTACTTTGTGTTTTTGGAATCTGGCGATAAAGTAATCGATGTCATTAGGGATATGGCCTTGCTACAATATCAGGTTCCACAATGAGTCTTAACGACTATTCAATCGGAAGGATGTCGATTTTCTCATGATACTCGGTTGAAAGTTGATAGTGCATAGATTATATGATAAGTTTTCTTTAAAAGAAATGAAGAATTTACAATCACACAGCAATATTTAAGGTGTTATATAGTCATCGGGCCTGGCATTCTTTTAGATCTTCCCAGCCATTTCTTTTGATTCTTTCGTTCATAACACCAATCAATTTGTTTTTGCCAAGTGAATGTATCTGATAACGCCCACACCAATCACACCTATTCTGTGTTTTGCAACAGGGACATTTGCACACCTATCGGTTCTGCGACAATGTTTGGACATTCATTTTGCAGGATGCAACATTTAAGAACGAGGATTCCCAAGAGACTGTTGGAAGAATTAAAATAGTAGCATGTGACTCAAAGTTACTCACACAATAAGCTTGAAGATGAAATTTGCATAATTATTTGATGATGGTAGAAGGAAATAGTCATGGTGACGAAATGGCCATCCGGGCAGTGTTGCGAGTTGGAAGCGATTCAAACATGATTCTGTAAAGTCATCGACCCGAACAGCTAAAAGTTACTTTCACGCCCATTGACGATACATTTGACTGTAATTGGCATTTAAAGCTGATTACATAACAATTATACAGCCCTTCCTAGTGTAATGATAATAAAAACATGATATCTATTTTCATATTATGCTTTCAATCTTTGTTTCTATTAGTTTCTTTCAAACTCAAAACTTATCCCAGAGTTCCACTCTCATATATTCCTCTCCTTTGTTAAAACCTTTTTTCTGTACATGAGAATTCAAGCTTCCATGATTCCATTAACATAAGCATTTTATTGGCATTAAAAGAGTCGGAACATGACAAGGCGTGCTCAATACGACATCGAAGTCTTTAGATTTCCAGAAACGCTTCATTGGGCAAACACGATCCAAACATTTTTAGCCCTCATCCATTCTACAACAATATAGGGATCCCTCCTTGATTAGGAACAGATTTGAAAGTGTTTGGTGGTCTATAGCCTCCTCAATTGAAGGTTTTCTCGAATGAGAGGCGTGGAAAGAAAGCCCTCCTCTTCATCTTTAATAGCCTCAGCTCCATCAAAACTTCTTCAGACACTATCAGTTACACCACCCATCCTAAAAGGCAAAAATGAGTAGTTACTAAACTTGATTCCTTGATTTAATGCCTCACCACAGCAGTCCCTTCTAATTTACTAACAAGCATGTCCGGGTTTGGACGATATTTAAACCGATATTCGCACGTTTGCTCTCCCCTTCCCGCTTTGAATCATTTATGTTGGAGGTAATAAGCTGCAGCAACACCTCACTGAGGCCTACACCATCCTATAGGCCTACATTTTCGTAAGCGTAAAGTATCTTAGTAATCCGATGTGCCTGTGGTAAGTCAAAGCTAAAAAGTTCAAGATTTGTGACTGGGTCGGGATGTAGTTCTTCAATTTCAATATGGTAGTTGTTGATTGCATTTGGGTCCCGTGGAAAAAGGGAAAACTAATACGACTCAACGAGCCTCCAGAACAATGAAGCGAGCACTACTAACCAAGCCCAACTTCGCAAACATAATGCTCAAGCTATTGAAAGAGCTGATCTTGCTTTACCCAAACCTTTCCACAAATAATAATAAATGTTGATTGCGTAACTATTGTCAAGCATCCTAGTCGTCCCTTAATCGAGCACACCACATTACACCAATGCGGTGTTTATCCCACACATTTTGATGCTTAAGTTAGTACCGAATCGACGAAGACTCTTACATTTTTAGTGGAAGAGATGTTGAGATAAGTCTGACAATGTTCAGTGAATTAAGCTTTTGTGTAACATGTTCAGTCCTCGGCTTGGCCTTCATGGTCTCCAAGAATCTTCGTTTTCTTTTCTGGATGCGTGGGCCTATAGGCATCGTGGGTTCGAACCCATGCGCCACCGCATGATTTTACCCGTAACAATATTATAATCAAAACAATGAAATGATAGTTCATATTCCAAAATGTCGGCTCCTGATATTTGCTCAATCACAATAATTGGCCGTTTCTTTATAATATTGATATTTCAGATCCATAAGCCTGAAGCTGAAGCAATTGGTCTTTCACTGATTCAGTGCTTTGCTTTGATGGCAAACGGCGGCGTTTTGCACGTAGTGGTATTCCCATGGCTAGCCTTAGGCCATCTCATTCCCTATGCTCGTCTCGCCATTTGTTTAGCCCAAAAGGGCCTTAAAGTTTCCTTCATATCAACCCCAAGGAACCTCGGTAGAATTCCCAAAATACCCCCACACCTCTCCTCCGCCGTAAACCTCGTTGGCTTCCCTCTGCCCCCCGTCGACGGTCTTCCGATCGCCGCCGAGGCTTCCTCCGACGTACCGTACAACAAGCAACAGCTATTGAAGAAGGCCTTCGACTCTTTGGAATCGCCGTTGACCGATTTGATTCGCGATTTAAATCCCGATTGGATTATCTACGATTACGCCTCTCACTGGCTTCCGCCAATCGCGGCAGAGCTCCGTATATCGACTGTTTACTTCAGCCTCTTCACCGCTGCGTTCCTTGCCTTCCTCGGCCCGCCGTCGGAGCTGTCCGATGGCGGAGGTTCCCGGTCAACGGTGGAGGACTTCATGAAGGTTCCTGAGTGGATGCCTCCAGAATCAAACATCCTCTTCCGGTACCATGAGATAAAAAAATCTTTAGATGGAGCAACCGGAAATGAATCCGGAACGTCCGATTCAATCAGATTTGGTGTTTCAATCGAAGAGAGTGTGGCTGTGGCCGTAAGAAGCTCCCCGGAACTGGAACCGGAATCGTTCGATTTGCTCTCAAAGCTCTACCAGAAGCCAGTCATTCCGATTGGATTCCTACCTCCATCAACGGAAGACGCAGAGGAACTGAGCGGAGATATCAAAGAATGGTTGGCGAAACAGAAACCGAACTCGGTTCTGTACGTTTCATTTGGAACTGAGGCATTTCTAAGTCAAGAAGACGTCACTGAACTAGCCTTCGGGCTGAAGAAATCAGAGATTCCATTTTTGTGGATTCTGAGAAGAAATTCACATAAGAACGAGTCAGAAATGTTACCAGCCAGATTCAAGGAGCAAGTCGGAGGCCGAGGATTGCTTCACAAAGGATGGATCTCACAGGTGAAGGTACTGAGTCACAACTCGGTTGGCGGCTGTTTGACTCACTGTGGATGGAACTCAATCATAGAAGGGCTCGGATTCGGGCGAGTCATGATTCTGTTTCCTGTAGTGAACGACCAGGGATTGAACGCAAGACTGTTGGAGGAGAAGAAACTCGGAATCGAGATCGAGAGGAATGAAAGAGATGGATCATTCACGCGCGACTCAGTTTCAGAATCGGTGAGGTCGGCCATGGCAGAAGGTTCAGACACAGGCAAACGGTTGAAACAGAGAGCAATGGAAATGAAAGAGTTGTTTGGAGACGGAGATAAGAATGAACGTCACCTGGACGAGTTTGTGCACTTTCTCAAGTCAAAACAAAAATGAACGGTCTAGACCGTTCAGTAATAAAATATAGATTAAATTATTCAAAATTCCCTAATAAAATTAAATTACTGGACTGCTCATGGCCCATCTATAATTTGGGCCGGTCAGCTCAGGCCCAAACTATAATTTGGGCCGATCAAGCTGTCAGGAGCCCAGCCCATTCGGATAGAGATGATCCTATGTCGTTTTACAAATTCCCACGGCACTCTCGAATCATTCAGGCTTCTTTACATTATTTTAAATGACTAATATATTCGAATTTTTAACTATTGTGACATAATATCATTTAAAAAAATATCTAAATATATTCTAATATAAAATGATGCCGTTAGGATTCACGACTCTCCACAATAGTATGATATTATTAACTTTGAGAATAACCTCTCACTCTACTTTGGGCTTCTCCAAAAGACTCATACCAATGAAGATGTATTATTTACTTATAAACCTATAATCATCCTCTAAATTAGCCCATGTGGGATTCACTCCCAACGGTCCTGCAATATGGGACATTTTAATATGGGATTTTAGAGTAAGATTTATTGGGAATTGAAGCATGACATCCATGTTGGGCGAGGAATAGAATGGATGAGTGCCCCTCCCCGGCTCCCAAGAGCCTCCAAATTTTGTCCCTTTGGAAGCCCTGGGAGACAGAATATTCTCCCCCCCTATTTAACTCTCAATTTTAATATTATTTTAACTACTAAATCTAAAAGAAACAAAACAAAATAATTATATATATTATAAAAGGGACAGATATTTTTTCTCATTTAATTTCGTTTTTTCTAACTTTTACAATATTAATTTTTATCCCTATCACCATAAATTTCGGTTTTTATTTAAGAAAAATATTGCGCCACCTATTACACGTGGCTTAATAATTATTCAAATGATCTCACATATAATTTCCTTTTCATTGGATAAATCCTCTACGGTCATTTTCATTGATAACATATTAAAATTATAATCAGCCCAATCTCCTTAATCCAAATCACATTAATGGATTCTAATATAATTCAACTAAATTTAATATCAATCTCTTTTAAGTATAATGTTTAAATAATACAATTTATTAAAATTAAAATAAGGAAAAATTAGAGATTTTAATATATGCTCTTGTGTTAATTCAAACAAAAAATTATTTTAGAAAGTATAAATATATATATATATATTATTCACTGCGAATTCAGAAATTATGATGTTTACAATGGGCCGGGTCATGAAGCCCAACAAAACTGGTGGCCCCATGTAACGAACGACGTCGTTTCGGTTCGGCCGTACGCTCAGAAACCTATGGGAACGATAGGGTTATATATATTTTTAATTTAAAAATTAAAAAAATTCAAATATTAAAAATTAAACCATATGTTTATCCAAAAAAAAAAAAAAAAAAAAAAATCCTCCCCCCCC